GATTCATAAATAACAAGTTAAATACCATATGACTGGGGTCCATTCAACCAGAACCGGGAAAAGAAAATATTCCCGGCGACATGAAGGCTCCAGCCTGGTCACTGATCTCTGGTCCTAAAAGAGCACAGGCCCTGCCCTGAGCCACCCAGGGAGGGCAGCCTTTCTGCCCAGCATTACCTCCCACACAGGGTCCAGCACTCGATCATGCCAGCACCTTCAGGACAGCCCCCGGTCTTCATCAGAGAGTGCTTATTATGGTTATTTACTGAGTCCCTGGGGCACCCAATCTTGGGAGAGAGTGGCACAATGACACCATTGTGCAGCCCCAGCACCTGCCCACAGTGCCTGGGTCAACCCTGGGTCTCAGAGCAGATGTCGTAGGCCCGGGAACTGCAGGGTCAGGTGGTGGAAGGCAATGTGCTTGCTCAGGACGTGGCCAGGGCTGCAGCTAACAGAGGTGGTTTCCCAGAGGAGCTCAGCTGTGAACTGAACTCAGGCCAGCACGTGGCCTGTGTGCCTCATGTGTCCATTTACTGAGAGGGTAGGAGACACGAGCCCTGCCTTGGGGAACCTGGGTTATCAAACCCGATGAGGGAGATGAAAGCCCTGGGGAGGTCAAGGCTCTCATTCTAGAGGAATTAAAGTTATGGAGATGCAGAGGTGTGTATTCGTGGCAGGTGATGTGCCACCTGCTCCCTGAATGTCAACCCTGGTGGGAACGTTGGGAGGAAGCCAGCACTGATGGAGCCTGGTTCAAGTCAGGGAAGCTGGGGGTGCCCTGCATTGTCTTCACAGGTCTTCACGATGATCTCCAGTAATGGAAGGCATAGGTCCCCTTGTGGGAGAAGAATCCTCTGAGGCTGGCAGAGATTAAGTAATTTAGCCGGCCCAGTTGCGCACTGCTACAGTGCGCTGCTTGGGAAGTGTGGCGGCGCTCCCGCCGAGGGTTCGGATCCCACATACAGACCGGCTGCTCACTGGGTGAGCGAGGCGCGGGCGCAACACCGAGGGTTGCGATCCCGTTGCCGGTCACGAAAAAAAAGAGAAAAAGGAAAAAAAAAAAAAATGTAATTTGCTTTATTTCTTTAGGGGGCAAATATA